CCCCACCTCCTGGGGGAGGTGTGGCTAACCGCTGGAATCAATGCAACCTCTTTGAGATCTGGGGAATGATAAATACAGCGCTGGAGAGGACCAAGCATGTTGAAATACGTGAATGTGTTTGCTTGTGCCTGTCAGAAGTGCCCTGGGGGAGGAAACGAATCAGAGGACTGAGGGCTGGAGGCCTGCACTGTATGAGGGTGTGGTAGTGACTTTTAAGATGTGACTCCGAAGGCACCATCCATGACTTCATTAAAATTGAAGTTTTCTGCTCTACAAAAGACAATGACAAGAGAATGAAAAGACAAGCCACGGGCTGAAAGAAAATATTTGCATGAGAAATATCTGATAAAGGACTGCTATCCAAAACATACAAACAACAAAACAATAAGAAAACAAACAACCCTATTAAAAATGGTCCAGACACCTCACCAGAGAAGAGATACAGATGGCAAATAAGTATATGAAAAGATGCTCCGCATAAGATGTCATCAGGGAAATGAAAATTCAAACAATGAGTTACCACTATACACCTATTTAGAATGGCCAAAGTCCAGACACTGACATCACCAAATGCTGACAAAGATATGGAGCGATGGGAACTCTCATTCATTGCTGGTGGAATGGAAAACAGTACAGCCACATTGGAAGATGGTTTGGTGGTTTCTAATAAAATGAAACATACGCTTGCCATACAATCCAGCAATCACATTCCTAATGCTTACTCAAGAGAGTTGAAAACATGTCCACACAAAGGTCTGAACAGGGATGCCTATAGCAGCTTTATTCATAATTGCCCGAATGTGTAAGAACTAAGATGTCCTTCAATAAGTGAATGGAAAAATAGACTGTGGTCCATCCAGACAAAGGACTATTATTCAGAAGTAAAAAGAAATGAGCTATCACACCATGAAAAGACATGGAAGAACCTTAAGTGTATGTACTAAGTAAAAGAAGTCAATCTGAGAAGGGTCCATTCTGTGTGATTCCAACTATATGACATTCTAGAAAATGCAAAACTATGAAGACAGTAAAAAGATCAGTGGTTGCCAGGGGTTAGGGAGGGATATATAGATGGAGCACAGAGTATTTTTAGGGCAAACTATTCTGAATGATTCCATTGTGGTGGATACACATCATTATAAATTTGTCTAAACCCATAGAACATACAGCACCAACTACGGTCTCGGGGTAATTACAATGTGGCAATGCAGGGTCATTGATTATAACAAACGTACCACCTGGTGGGGGATATTGATGATGAGGGCTGTGCATGGGGGGGGCAGTGGGATGTGGGAACTCTCTGTACTTCACACTTAATTGTTCAGTAAACCAGAAACTGCTCTAAACAATAAAGTCTATTTTTAAAATGCAGGGGGAAATTGCCATTTGCAGCAACATGGATGGACCTGGAGAATGTCATTCTAAGTGAAGTAAACCAGAAAGAGAAAGAAAAATACCATATGATATCACTCATATCCTGGAATTTTTTAAAAAGTGACACAAATGAACTTCTTTACAAAACAAAAACAGACTCACAAACATAGAAAACGAACATGGTTACCCGGGGGAAAGGGAGTTGGAAGGGATAAATTGGGAGTTCAGGATTTGCAGATACAGACTACTATATATAAAATAGATAAACAAGGTCATACTGTATGCCCCAGAGGACTATATTCAGTATCTTGTAACCTATAATGAAAAAGAATATGAAAAGGAATATACGTGTGTATATGTGTATGTCTGAAACATGATGCTGTACACCAGAAATTGACACATTGTAAACTGACTATGCTTCAATTTAAAAAAGAAAGAAAAAAAGAAAGGCATGGCAAAAAGCCAGTCTTTCTCTCTCCCCCACCCCAGGTGCCTTTTCCATGCAGAACAGTTTGATGTATGAAAATACATTTTTCACTGATCCTTCTTTTCATTGATCCACTTGATTGTGACCATTCAGTGTCACACATTGCGCTGAAACTCATTTATTCACATGGGGTTCACCCCCTCGCTCCTCAAGCTAATGAATTTGCCTACATTCCCTTCCAGCACTTGTCTAGATGTCAAAAACTGTAGGGAGGCAGGCAGGTCCCGGCCCCAGCGAGGAAGCTGTGCAACCCCACTAAATATTACCCGTGCAGCCCAGGCTGGGGCAGGGCAGCCCCGGAAACAGGCAGCATCCCCCGTGCAGCGGCCATGGTTGTCCACTGATTCTTGGCCAAAGGCAGCTGCAGCCTCACCTCTGGACTCTGCCTCTTAGATACGAGTTATCAAGACACAAGGACATAAAAACACTCCTGCTTCCTGGCAATTGAAAGCACCCTCACTTCTTCAAACTGTCCCAACACCTAACCCCAGCTGCAATCTGGCAGGGAGCCCCTCTGGCTCCCCTCAGGACGCCCGCGGCGCCCTGCTGGCTGGTGTCCCCTTGGCAGCTTCCTTCTTGAGCTGATGACAGGTCTGTCCCAGGTGGCCTCTGGCTCAGCTGGGCACAGCCGACCTGTTCAGTTCCAGAATGTCCAACTGCCTATGAGGTCATTTGTAGATGACAAAATCTCCTCAGAGACCTCAAGCCAGAACTTACAGGGATGACTTCAAGGCACAGATCCGGGCAGGAGACAGAAGAAAATGCCCCTGGGAGAAACCCTGGAAGCCAGTTCTCAGACGCGGCACCCCTGCTGTGTCTGAGTGGCCGGGCTGTCACCTCCCGTCAGGAGCAGCGCCTGCCACCAGGATGGTCGACAAGAAAGTGCACTTCCTTCAGTTAGAACTTCTTGCCCAGACATGGGCAAGACTAACAGAACTTCTGGGGAGACTTTCTGGAGTGTGGGGAGGGCTGAGCCCACCACCCAGTCATGTCCCCCCCTGCTGGTGGCACCTACAACTTCTCTAAGTGGGGGTCATGAGATGCTCTCTGATTCCACAGCTGTGCAGAGACCTCCGGAGAATGCAGAGGCAGTGACTGCCCGGTGAATGTCACGGCAGGGTGCGCGCAGGCACAGAGCTAACTCAGCTGGCGTCGGGGGTGCAGAGACACTAGGGAACTTTCCAGAAGCAGCTCTGTTCTAAAGGTGTCGGCGTCACTGAAGTGATCCTCAACACACTTGTATCCTCTGCATCCAACCAGCCTCATTTCCTGAGCCGTCTGCAGCAGGGAGACCCCAGCTTTCCCTGGCCCTGGGGAACTGCTGCCTCGCCTGACCCCTAAGTGATGTCAGCACGTGGTGGGCTCCAAAGGCCTGCAGGGCAGCCTCCATTTCAGGCTTTGCTTTTTGCCTCTTCCATGCAGCCCATGTTTTCTCAATAAAAGGAAAAGAATGTCCAACTGCTGCAAAATGGATGTTACGAGACTTTTTAAATCCTGGGGCCCCTTCTCTCTCACCCTCCTCGGTGACCATGCCGCAATCTGGCATTTTCATCGGAAACCCGGATCTCACTCTGGGTCTCCATCCAAAATTGTAGTGGGAATCTTCAAGTTGGAGTTCTTAGTTCCTGCCCCAGTCTGTCCCTGCTGCCCCAGCAAGATACTCCTCTCCAGAAGACACCCCCTGGGGCACTGGCACAGCTGCGCAAGCCTGAAGCTGCGGTGTCATCTTGGCTGGCTCCCCGTCCCCTGCCACATCTAACCCACAGCCCCCTTATCAATGCTCCCAAGTTCCACCCTCAGGGGCTCCTGCCCTGGCCTCCTCTCTGGAGTCCCTTGCCCTCTCCCTCCACCCTCGACCAGAATGATGTCCCTTCTGCTCACAGCACCCCCACCCCACCCGCTGCAGAGGAGCCACAGCCCCGTTCTTCCCGGGAAAGGCTACCCCTGGCTTAGGCTTCCACAGGAGGCCCCCCTCCCTCAGCGGCTCTGCCCTTCCCAGGGCTCAGCGCATCTCTTCTGTCCCTTGTGCAGTCAGTTGGCCTCCCTGCGGGACCGCAAGGCCTTGGTGTTCCCTGGACCCCGCCATGTGCCCCACGCGGGCGGTGCGAGTTGACCCTTCTGTCGCCTGAGGGAGCCCGCGGCCCACCTGGGTTTCTCGGGAGGAGCTGGGGCACAGCGGGCGCGCAGGCAGGGGTGCGGGGATGGGGGGACTCCCAGCGCCGGCGCTGCCCCTGGACTCCGAGCCCCTTCAGCCTACAAGGGGTGTGGACCGCGCAGGAGCCATATGAAGACCTCCGCGTGGGTCGCGGGGTCCTTCGCAGCCGCGGAAGGATGGTTTCCAGGAGAGCCTCGGGGCGCACATCCCAGCCACTCATCACTGTCCGCTGGGTCCTTGAGGGTCTCCGCAAGGACTTCCCTACGAAGCACCAGCGCTGCTCTCCAGTTTCCCAGACCCCACCAGGCTGAGCGTTAGCTGACTGCGTCCCGCGAGCAGGGCTGCTGATGCCCGGCTCGACCCCCTGCTCCTCCCAGTGCAGCGGCTTCTGGAGCTGGGAACACCCGCGGGGAGCCGCCGCGCTGGGCTGTGGAGCTCCAGAGCATCCCAGCCCTGGGCCAGCGCCCTCACCCCACACCTCTGGATGTGCCCTGTGTCGGGACTTCCTCCCTGGGGTGTTCACGGAGACTGCGCCAGCCTCCCGCGTACAGTGCCTGGCCTGGTGAACCCGACTCCGGGCAAGGCTTCCCGGGCCCTCCTCGACGCCCAGATGCGTCCTCACCCGGCCACACTCCTCCTCCCCCGGGCCCTGCCTGACCTGAGTCCGGGTCTCGGGAACGCCGGGCCTTTCCCCGGGAGTGGAGATCTGGTCACGCACCCAGGGAGGTGGCCGGGCTGGGAGGTGCAATGTAGGAACTTCTGAACCTCGCTTTCTCCAGCTCTGCACTGGGGTTGCCGTGGGGGTTCTTTGAGGACCGACTGGGAAAACACCAGGAAGCGCCTGCAGGCAGCCGTGCTTAGGTTCCAGGGGCTCCCAGCCCGGGGGAGCAAACGCGGCAGAGTCTGCGGCTCAGGGCAGGGTGTCAGGCTGGGCGCTCGGATCTTGAGATGTCTGAGCCTGGCTGGGGCAAAGGAAGTTCCGAGTGTGACCGCAGACCTTCCTGCCCCGCTTCGCTGCCCCCGGGCGATGCAGAGGGAAGGTGGCTCCCCTCCCTCCGCGCTTCTTCGGGCGCCTCGCGAGCGCCCCTGAGGAAGCTGCTCCGGGAAGGAGGCACCACACTCAGCGGCGTGCGGCTGAGACCTGGCCCAGCCTCACCGTGGAGTGGACTCCGTCCACCAGCTACAGATTGGGAGACTGAGGCCTGCATGAAGTCCCGCCGCCCGCCTCCAGGTCTGGTGCGGGAAGGGGCGCGCAGGCCACCCCGTGACCGCTTCTGGGAGACCCGGCGGGCGGAGCGGGTGAGCGGCTGCGGGTCAGGGGAAGAGGGTCGCCAGCGCCGTGTGGACGCGTTGGCACCGGGAGCAGCTGCCTCTCGGTCGTACGCGGGAAGGGAAGGACTTGGTCCTGGCATCCTCAGGCCCGGCGGAGGGGACGTGGTGCGCTGTGCTCCTGGGCACCTCCGTCCCCATAACCTGCAGTCTTTAGTTTTGGTTCAGGGACGTTGGGATTAAAAATGATCGGTTTGGGTTTCTGCGAGGCCGTTTGTCGTCCGAGCATCTCCAGAAAGGGACGAATTTCTGGGAACTGGGCTCGCGCGCCTCCCTCTTGGCTCTGGATCAGAGTGGTGGTGCCCAACCTGTGCGCCTCTGCCCGCGCCGCCGCCGTTTTGGCGGGTCCTGCCTGTCTGCGCTAAGCAATAGGACAGGAAGGCCTGCTGCAAACTGCTCGGGGTGTGGAGTTCATGCACTGGGAAACCTTGGAGTAAAATAATGCGCCCTAAACGTGGTCGCCTGGTTTGACTGGAAGGAAGCGGTGAGAGAGGGATGGAGGAAGAGGCTCGGGGAGGAGGTTACCCCGAGGCGATTTCGGCTTTATTCTGCGGGGTCAGAGGCTTGACGGGGCCCTTGCGACCGCCCCCAGGGCAGCCCCGGCCCGTTGCCCTCCAGGGCCGCCCCCTGGCCCGCACCCCATTTCGGGCATGCTCCTTTCCCTCTCCAGCTAGGTAGAGAGCCCGTTGCCAGGGATTGGGTCTTTTTTGTTTTGTGGTGTCATTTATAGTAACAGCCTTCTCTGATTGTAAAATTAATACGCGGCTCTCACAGACAATTTGGAAAAGACAGAAACATTTTGAAAAGCGAAAATCCCTTTGAACCTGTTGCCCAGAGATGCCCCGACATGCAGCGTCCAGGCCCTCCAGCCCCTCTTTTCCCTCCCTGGGTCAAGCACCCTTTGTAACTAGAAATTTTGATTGTTGCTCAAGTGTAAAATGTTAGCTCTCCCTGGTGCCCACCCAGTACACAGCCTAGGGCTGGCCAGATTCCCGTCTCCACTTGGTCAGCCAAGCCTGGCTTCCCACCCTCGTGACCATCAGTGGGGCACTCCCTGTATGGCTGGTGTCACACCCAGAATAGGCAAATGTTCCCTTCACAGCTCAACCTTAGCCTGACCCCAGCTCAGCCAGGCTCTGCGTGCCCTGCCCTCCCCTTCC